CTCTGCAGGTAAAGGTAAAGGCAAGTGGGAGCACTTTGTGAAAGGTACACAGGGTCTGTAGGCAACATGTGACAGGGCAGATAAACTCAAACCAAGATTTTTTTTGATGGCCTTTGAAAAGAATCATGTGAAATGCCATAAAATCACAAAATCTTAGAATTTTAAGAGATGAGAGACAGTTTAGATATGGCATAGAAGTAGCCCTGGGCTGGAAGTCCAGAGGTCCTGGTCTGATGCTATTGAGGCCATATGATCAGAATCAGTGATTTCACCTTTCTGGGTTTTGCTTTTTTCATCTTTGAGAGGAATGGAGGGGTGAGGAAGAAGAAGAAATTGATTAAGGTACCTCTTGCTGAGTCAGGGCTGTGCCACCTGCTCCAGATCCTGTCTCTTTAGGTTCACAATACCAAAGCAAGTTATTTACTCACATTTTAGAGATGAGAAAACCCCGACTGACAGCCAGTCCCAGCCCTGTCTGTAGTGCAGTGAGAACATCCTCACAACAGGGAAACACGGTTATGAATTCTTGATGGGTTTTGGGCTCCCCCATTTCCTGGGGTCTGTCACTCATGTCTGCTCCCTCTGTTGGACAGATGATAAGTCTGGAGTGTAGAGAAGTTGCCTCATCACCTAGGTAGTTGTTGGCAGAGAGTGCTTATGACTGCTTTTCATTTCCCTCTTATTCAGCAAAGACAGGGAGTAAATGGATGTAGACCACACACTTCGGTTTAATTACTAAACGATGGTGTCAAAATGAAGATGGAGCTCTCCCTTCACTTCAGTTTGTTAAACTATTTTTAGTTTATAGAGCCTGGAGGGTTAGGGAGGGAGAGTTGGGTAAGACTTCTGGTTGATTCCGTGGAAACTAGAATTTGCTCATGATGACCAAATCTTTAGTTATTTAAAAATATATCCATGGACCTACTATGCAAAAGATATTCATCTGGAGTTTCTGCCCCTTATTTCACCTCTTACAGTATCCCAGACTAATTTTAAAATGAACTGCCCCAAATATCCCTTCCTTAAACAGAAGTAACTGTTCCTTTAAGAATTCTAATTTTTGGCAAGGTTTTTCATATATTATCTGCCTGAGTAGAGGAAGTCAAAGTCCAGGTGATCTAAAAATAGCTTCTGTGTATTTTCCAAAGCAATACTTTCATTTTCTTCCCCCACAGTAGAAATGCTTTCCTAATTACCCTGAATACTATTAATGCCTTTTATTTTTTCCAGCACACTGACACCATGATTGATTGTCCTGCTAGCCCAGTCAAGGAGACAGGGCATATATCATGCTATCCATTGTGCTTATGAGAGAACTCAGACTTAAAAAATGAGCAAATCTTTAATCCAAGATCACAGAACTTAGTGACAAAGGGCTGACAGTATGAAGCAAGAGTCTTTTTTGTTTGTTTATTTGGCCTCTCTCAGTGATCGACTTCTTGTCCAATTTAGGTTGATAATTCAAAAGTATTTCTACTTGGGGTCATGACAGAGAACAGGAGAGTATGGAGTGATGGGCTACTGTCCCTATTTTCTATGTAAATCTGAGCATTGAGGGATTATTATCCTTGTTCCAACACTGGTAATATTTAAAGAAATCAGTGCTAACAAAGAGCCAGCAAATGGATGAGTTCAACGGTGGCCCCCATTCCCTAAGTTCCAGTCCTGCCTTTACCATTCTCTAGCTGCTCTAAACCAAGAAAACAAATATGGCATCCAAGTCAACTGAAGTTTTTGAATTGCCTTCAGCCAAAGATTTGAAAGTTGGAGATACTAAATTGCAAATATTATACAAAGAATCTCAACCACACAAAGGTGGGAATGCTAATGTCCCTGGAATCCTCTGAGCTTGCAGATCAAACTATTGTTTGCTATAATCACCCTATAAGGAAGCTCTTATAAAAATAACTTGTCTTCGTGGTAGTCAAACCAATCCCTTCACATGGTAGAGAAAAGGCTGGCCATTCCACTCACCATTCTCCTAGTACCTGCCTTGCTATTTCTTGTCCTGGTGCTGCTTTGACCTTGCCTCTTTCCTATCTGGGCTTCCCTGTGGCTCAGATGGTAAAGAATCTGCCTGTGATGCCAAAGACCTGGGTTTGATCCCTGGTTTGAAAGATTCCCTGGAGAAGGGAATGGCTACTGACTCCAGTATTCTTGCCTGGAGAATCCCATGGACAGAGGAATTTTCCTATTCAGATTTTGCCCAGGACTTAAAGTCAGTCTAAATCCTCCCATCTCTCTGTGATATGCAGCATTTTCTTCTGAGCATCTCATTTAGCCCTGTAGGGAGCTAGTCTTTCTGCATAGTTGTCAGTGTTGTTGGTCTCACGTTGGGATCACTCACTAGATTAGAAGCTCCTCGAGAGTAAGGATGTTACTTGCTTTTTGTGTGTCCCCCCTCTCACCTCCACAGTGACCTTACACCTTAGGAACATGTGCTATACAGTTAGTTGTACGTTATTGATGCCAGGTAGAATATGGACTTCCATGTTGCCCATCTATTCACAAAATGTGTGTCTGTAACCACCCTACTTACAATCTTAAACATCTCTATTACCCCTGGCAATAGAGTTGCTGGCTTTAGCACATAAAATTACAGAACACCCAGTTAAATTTGAAGCTTAGGTAAATAATGGCATTTTTAAAAGTATAAATACATCCTCTAATTTGCTAAGATTTAAAATTTAAAAATGTTATCTGACCTGTACTTACATAGGGCACCTCACTGGCCTCACCCGAATCCTGGTCCTGTCAGAGCTTGGCTTTATTTCAAATTCTGATATTTGTTCAATGCTGACTTTTTAGCATTAATTTTGAGTTTCTAAAGTATTTCATTAAATTATTGTTTACCTTGATTCCTGAGTTCTTTGATGACCTCTTCCTCTTTATACCTGAGGCAGGTGCCTCACTCCCCTCACCCTGGTCCAGGTCTGGTCTAATCTTTATGGTCTCCTTTGTGAAACAGTGATAAGGTTATGTCACCAGCAGAATGCAGTGAACCCAGGGTCTGACATAGTATTTATTCAGTGATTATTTGATGTATTCTGTCTTATGTATTACTTTATGTATTATGTATTCTGTCTTGACATCTATTTTTACATTGGAAAGTTCAGTCATCTGGTCTACTTCTCTCATAGCCACATTTAACTCACAATTGTTCAGTTTTCAAAGTAAATTCTTAATTACTCTCATGCATGGGAAAGGCTTAAGAAATCTGTGGTTCCAGAATGATCATGGTCCAGACCTCCATAAAAGTGCCTGTATTTTGAAGGCAAACATCCTATTTGCAAGGAGCAAACCAAAGAGAAAAGAAGCAGTTTTGGCTACCAAGTTAGTGTCTCACCTAACTTCACCAGACACTGAAGTTTTACCCTCTATGTGACAGCTGCCTTCTGATGATAAAGCAGCACATTGTTCTTCTCCATATACTTTTGTTTCTTTGGAGCTGGTATTTCAGAGTTGTAAACATTAGAAAATTTCTTTTAAGCTCTTTCTACTTATAAAACTTCAGAGTGTACATCTGAGAGGTCAGCATTTGAGTTCAAGGAGTGGAGAATGGTGATGGGAATTTATAGGATTTTTAAATCATTAAAAAGGCATACATATGCCCTGGTTTGGGCTTTTTCATGAAAATGCTATAGGATTACACATCAACCAACCATTCGTTCAGAGGAAAAAGAATTGATTAAGCAAGTTGTAGAAAAGAGTAACTGATTTAATTCTGTTGTTCAGTCACTAAATAATGTCTGACTCTTTGCAACCCCGTGAACTGCAGCATACTAGGCTCCTGGTCTTTCACTATCTCCTGGAGCTTGCTCAAATTCATGTCCAAAATCTAGGTATATGTCAGTCTGATGTTTATGTTTCAGCCTTGCACATCCAGGATTTTGCCAATGAAAGAAAACATCTAGGAATCTGTCAGATGTTAATTTCTATAGATCCACAAAACATATCCTGTGAGGCACAATTTATGACCTGGGATCTCATTTCATCATATGCATAAGTTGCTGCAGAGACCTGCGTGGTTTTACAGAGACTGAGTATAAACAGGAATTGGCCTACCACTGGGACCATAAATCAATTTGTAAGGTATTTGACTAATGTTTAGATAACTTAATAGATTTGACAAAGATTTGGGGGACTCTTTTCTCTTCAAAGGAAGATAATGCAGTCCATACAGCTGTGCAGAGCTTTCTATCCATGGGACTGTTGTTGCTACTATGGTCTTAAAAAGAATGGAGATTCTGTTTGGTTTGGTTTGTGTTACTACAGAAATGAAAAATTCTAAAAAAAAAAAAAAAAAAAGCAAGGGAGGGGGAGGAATAGAAACTAGTTAAACTTCCAAACTTCCTGTGAATAATTTATCAAATACCATTACTATTATCTTTTGCTTTTGCCTCTGTTTGTTATAGTCATAAGGGAAATTTTCCTTCTGGCCTCAAGCTGTGGGTTCCTTCTTATTATGTTTAGCATTCCAGTGCATGGCAGAACAGAGATTAAAACACTGTGTTTTCTACTAAAGCACCTCTTTTGATTTTGATCCAGATTACAAAAAGACTTGTGATACATTAGTATAAAATTCTGATCATTCTTTTTCTAGTTTTGCTTTATTATCTCAGTAGTCTTCTATTCAGAAGAAATATATAATGAGAAAAAAAAAACCCACTTGTATTTGAAGGTAATAACAAAAACATCCTTGTATCTACTTAATTGTTGAATGTCTGGAGAAAGAAAGAAAACATAGATCTGCATGGAGTTGAATACAGACATATGTGTAACCATCTTGAGAATGTATTGATTTTCATCAACTTTTAATCTTTATTTCAGAGAGATTAACTTTAGAGATCAAGTTATATTAACTGGGTATTGAAAAGAATCCTTTTTTTTTAATGGCTTGAACTCTACAATTCAAGTGTGTTTCTTAATTTTTTTAAACCTTTAATGTCACTAACATTGAATTTTTCTAAATCTGAAATTATTATTTTTTTTCTTAATAGACTGGAAGAAAAGAAAAAGGAGATCCTCTAAACATTGCAATTGATAAGATGACCAAGAAAACAAGAGATCTAAGGAGACAGGTACTGTTTTGCTTTATAAGTGCCTGGTAGTGATACTTAGTGGTGGTTTCTAAGAATGTCCTTTTTCAGACCTAATACTTAGCTTGCTGTTCTTTATAATATCTACATTTACACAGAAACTTTTCATCAACAAATCAGTCTGCTGAGCAAGCAGATGTAACAGGTGCAATGGTGGTGATGAAAACAACCCCTAAGTCACGAGCAGCAGACAGTGAGGGGAAACCCTCTCACTGACCAGACACTATCTTCCTCGGTGGAGAGTCGACAAATTCTCTACCCTTTACATATAGTCTTCAGTTTTTCAGACCTAGGCATGTGAAAAACCAGTCCGTAATTTCTGCTAGTTCTTATTAAAACTCCCAAGGCAATCAATGAATAAACAAGAGTGCCAATGGTTAATGTGAAACACAACTCTTAATCTGATGGGCTAATTAAGGTCTCTGACCCGGTGTGTTTCCTTGGGGACATAAATCTAGGGGAAAATTTGCTTATCAGATGGTTGTTTGGGAAGCAGGGAAGCCAGGCAAGGAAAGGTAGCTGGATGATTTAAATGGTTAAGGGCATCATTAGCCTGAAGGGTCCATGTTGGGGGAGGGGTAAGGAATCTCTAGTCAGGGCCCCTTTTCATTTTGAAAGTGCTACATGAACACAAGTACCCGTTTCTAGCACATCTTATTTTCCACGTTGCTATGGTGAGCTCCACTTCTTCTGTAGTGTTCTTTTTATGGACGAAATGGTACCATCCATTAAGGAACTCCTTCATGATTTCTGCCTCAGAGGCCTTATCTCTTGCTGATAGCTTCTACATATACCCATCTTGTTCATTAAGTGTTGGTCATCGAGGACCAACCTCTGCTCTGCGGCAACACCTACTTTACTTTCTGCATCTGTGAAAGCTGAACTGGCATGGCTGCATCAGCTGTCAATAATACTCATCCCTGCAGCATGTCAAGTAGAAAGATTAGCAAACTGTCTGGGCAAGAATAGCCAAGGAGCATCTTTAAAAAAATGGTTTGAAGGAGAGGAAGACACAGCTTCAAATCACTGTTAAAGAGCTTTTCTGGGCTATTTTCAGGTTATCACCAGAAAGTACAGACACACTGATCTGGTGTTCTCTAGAAGGTACAACAATTAGTTCTAAAATATGAAGACTCTAGTTTGAATGCCCAGCTAATAAGCTCTTTGAAAGTGAAAGTATTAGTCTCTCAGTCATGTCTGACTCTTTGTAACCCCAATGGACTGTAGCCCACCAGGCACCTCTGTCCATGGAATTCTCTAGGAAAGAATACTGAAGTGGGTAACCCTTCCCTTCTCCAGGGGATCTTTCCTGACCCAGGGATCAAATCCTGGTCTCCTGCATTGCAGGTTGATTCTTTACTATCTGAACCACCAGTGAAGCCCAATAAACCTTTAGAGGAAAGCATTTCTTTTTATTTTACTTTGAAATAAGGGAAAATAAAGCATTGTCTTCTTAGGCATTAGAAGGTAATATTAAGAGAGAGTATGACCAGGTATGCTTCTCCTTGCCCTCTTAGACTACCTTTCCATACAAAGTCCCCATCTGACATGAAATGATATTGGTAGTAAGAATTGGGATTGGGAATGGTAGACAACAGTGAGTCAGGTGTCTGGAGCTCAGGGTTTTATTTCTAGCTCTGCCACTCAACTGACCTTATGACTGTGGATCCTTCATCTCTTGGATCCTACATCTCTTACCTGTAAAGTAAGTTTGGCATCTGCCAAACTAGGTCTGTAAACTCTTTGAATGAATCCATTTATTTCCTCTGTCAGAAGTCCTAATGCCTGATACTCACAGGTTTTAAAATCAATGGGAAGGGAACAGGGATCTTCTCTAGGGTTTGCCTTTGGCTGGATTGTCAACCAGGCTTCCCAGGTGGCGCTAGTGGTAAAGAACCCACCTGCCATGTAGGAGATATAAGAGATATGGGTTTGATCCTTGGGTTGGGATGATGTCCTGGAGGAGTGTATGGCCACCCACTCCAGGATTCTTTTGCCTGTATTTTGCCAGTATTCTTGACAAAGGAGTCTGGAAGGGCTTATAGTCCATAGTGTCACAAAGAGTCGGACTCAACCAAAGCAACTTAGCACACAGACATACAGGTTGTTGACCAGGCAAAGTTTATGAATTGAGTCTTCTTACTTCCCCCTCTAGGTCTTAATAGGGACCATTATTTTACATTCTGGAGCCAACAGCTAAGTTCTCTGCACTCATGGCCTGTCACAGGAATTTTTTTGTCTTACTGGGAAAGAATGGATACAGTAGTTTTTACCTTGATGCTACAATCCTCAGAAAAGTGTTGACTCATTTTAGCTTTGGACAGCAGTGAAATTTGAAGATGGACTTCATGGTACAGGAATGTTAAATGCTTTGGTGACAAGATCTTTGAAGAGCTTCCTTTATCGTGGCATTAGAAGGAATATGTCATGCCCTCAAATCATTCCATGTATAACACTTTTTTTTTTTTCTGCTCACCTTTCCCAGGGATTGAGAAGACTAAGGGTGAGAGAGAGTTGTTTTATGATAATCACAACAGTTATGGCATAATTTCACACCACATCCCTGAATTTGGCTCAAACAGCATTTTCTTCCCCAGTATGCCTTTCTAGAACTAAGATGGTCTCCATCTGTCAGTTCTGTCCCAATCTGTATGTTGGAATATTTTAATCTCTTTTCCCCATCTCTTCTGTTTCTCCATGTACACCTGTACTGGTACAAAACCTTTCCTGAGCTGAACAGAAGCTACCTAACATTTCTGCAGATAGAACATGCAAGGAGTCTGATTAGCTTGGCTCAGGTAGAAGTTCAATTCAGATGTGGGTAGTTAGTTAATTGGAGAAGGCAATGGCACCCCACTCTAGTACTCTTGCCTGGAAAATCCCATGGACAGAGGAGCCTGGTAGGCTGCAGTCCATGAGGTTGCTAAGAGTCGGATACGACTGGGCGACTTCACTTTCACTTTTCACTTTCATGCGCTGGAAAAGGAAATAGCAACCCACTCCAGTACTCTTGCCTGGAGAATCCCAGGGATGGGGGAGCCTGGTGGGCTGCCGTCTATGGGGTTGCACAGTCGGACGTGACTGCAGTGACTTAGCAGCAGAAGCAGCAGCAGCTGGTTAATTAGATGAACAAAATTTGACCTGAGTCTCTGATATGTGATGCCCAGGGCCTCCCTGGTGGCTCAAATAGGAAAAAATCTGCCTGCAATGCAGGAGACAAGGGTTCAATTCCTGGGACGGGAATATCCCCTGGAGAAGGGAATGGCAATCCCCTCTGATATTCTTGACTGGAGAATTCCAGGGACAGATCCTGGTGGGATATAGTCCATGGGGTTGCAAAGAGTTAGACACGACTGAGCGACTAAACACACACACAGTGAATGCTAGTGGTTCAGATGAAAACGGAAACATTTTCTGTTCCTTCAATTATGGACAGGCCTTTTTTAGAAAAGATTCTAAGTGAAAACCCTCAGTGATCCAACTCTAGTTCCCTGTAAACTTATATTCCTTAAAATATTTAGAGAAATAAAATCTTAGGCTGAAATCAAAGAAAAATATTTCTGATCACTTTCATAAGTTCTTACCCTTTGGGCCTCCTCCCTTTTCCTCATAGCCCCAAGGTTGGGCAGTGTTCTTCAGAAGGTGACCCTGGGCTTGTAAAGTTCTAATCACCAAATTAAAAAGAAATAAAGTCGATTATGATCATTATCTTGGGCTTGCCTAATGAAAGAAAGTGGACTTAAATTTGTAGACATGTGAAAAAAAATCCAGTAATTGAATAAAAAGGATTTCTGTTTTAAGTAGAATTTTCTAGTAAGTAGAGCTCTTTTTTTTTTTTTTTTCCAGGCAGTATGTCCCAAGGAACTAGAGAGTCATAAATTGTGAGAAAGGTTGCAGGAACCCAAGGGTGTTATTTTAACTGATTGGCATGGATCCATCTTGCCAATTAACCTCAAGAGAGTGGGCAGTGGTAGAACAGAATCCTTTTAGGAGTATTTTGTTTGGAGTTAAAAATGGATTTAGGGGAATATAACTGCCAGCTTTAAGCATTATGTTTTAATTTTAGAGCTGTGGGCACAGTATGCCCCACGTCTGAGCTATTGTCACTGCTGTGTTTCTGGAATCAGCCCATTATAAAAACAAAAGCTTTTGGCCGAGTCCCTGCCTGAGTACCTAGTAGCCCACATGGTCCATTTATCCCATAGAGAGGGCCCAGTTGGTGTCTGCCAGCGGCTCCTCACGCCCCCCTTCTATATGCCACCTGTGAACTATTCTAGGCATGGCCTCTTGGTTTTCCTTACACTTACAGTGATGTTGGTTATCCTGATTGTTATTTTGGTCCTTGTGTTAGTCTTTCTCTCCCCCCAAGTTGATAAGCAAATCGGAACTCAAATGTTTTCCTATGAGACGCTAATAAATAGTACTCATAACATGTTAGTGTGTTGCTAAAGTCAGCAGCTCTCTCTTATTCCTCAAACCAATCAATGGCCTAATTCTTATTCCATCACCCTTAATAGACATCACAATAATTCCAGCAATGAGATGCAGTGTCAAATTGAGAAAAGTGTCAATTTTGCCACAATCAAAACATGTATAGAATGCTTTTACACTGGAATGCAAACTTAATAGAATGGATTATACAACAAAGGATTAAAAACAAATGAGCAAAACTTGTCACTGGATGGTTTGTTAAAGGTCAATTTATCAACACCCTGCCTCCAGATAGGACTTCAGAAAAAGCTCACTAGATTAATAAGAAATAACTACAGCTAAAGATTCCTCAGCTGTCCCTTTTGTGACCCAGTTCCTTACATAAGAACTGTGGCTAAAGGTGGGCAGTCATCAGCCCAAGTTTGTAAAATCATGGTCCATGAAAATGTAAACTAAATTATAGCTGACATTATGGAGTCCTTACATTGTGCCAGGCAGTGTTCGAAGTTCTTTCTATAAATGGACTGTATTTAATCCTCATTCAGCTCTAT